TTGCACGAGACTCTGAGATACGGATTGGCGCCAAGATCGTGGACAGACTACCTGCATCTGACAGTTGGTGGCACTCTCTCCAACGCTGGTGTCAGTGGCCAGGCATTTAAGTATGGTCCCCAGATAAGCAATGTTCAGCAGCTGGAGATTGTTACGGGTTAGTGAAAACAAAATGAACTGTGTAACTGCAGCAGCAGCAGCAGCTACTATTTTGTCTTTTCTGAACTATTAATTCATCTTTTACCTGACTGGCTGCAGGAACAGGGGAGGTTGTGAACTCTTCCGCTGAGCATAATGGGGAACTTTTTCACAGTGTTCTTGGGGGACTTGGCCAGTTTGGCATTATAACCAGAGCAAGAATTGTCCTTGAACCAGCACCTGCCATGGTAATGCATCAGTGACTATACCAGAAACAAGGTCTTTGGTTTTGGTTTTGGTTTGTTCTTGGGAGCAGAAATTGTCATAACCGAAAGTTTTGTATTTTTTGGAACAGGTGAAATGGATTAGAGTGTTGTACTCGGATTTCACGGCATTCACAAGAGACCAAGAGCTGTTAATATCTTCAGAAAACATGTTTGACTACATTGAAGGATTTGTGATAATAAACAGAACCGGTCTGCTAAATAACTGGAGATCATCCTTCAACCCACAAGACCCAGTTCAAGCTAGTCATTTCAAGTCTGATGGAAGAACCCTCTTCTGCCTTGAATTGGCTAAATACTTTAACGTGGAAGAAATTGATGCAGCAAACCAGGTGAGGCCAGTAACACTCAATCTAGATGATTAAAGAAAGGGTATACAATTAATTCATTAGTCATAATGAAGGAAGAACCGTCTCACTTTTTTTTTTTTTTTTGTGTAGGAAGTTGAGGAACATTTGTCCCGTTTAAGCTACATCCAATCGACCCTTTTTTCAACAGAAGTTAGATTTGTAGATTTCTTAGACAGGGTGCATGTATCTGAGGTGAAATTGCGTTCAAAAGGGTTGTGGGATGTTCCACATCCGTGGCTAAATCTTCTGATACCCAGAAGTCAGATACACAACTTCGCAGAAGTCGTCTTCGGGAATATCCTGACAGAAACTAGCAACGGCCCCGTTCTTATCTACCCGGTGAATAAATCAAAGTAATGAATGGTTCAGAAAATATAAACTCCTGAAAGTATTTTAGCCGTCAAAAATGAATTTGGATGTAATGCATTTATGTCGTTTGCAGGTGGGACAACAGAACATCTGTTGTGATTCCAGAGGAAGATATTTTCTACTTAGTGGCATTTCTAACTTCTGCAGTTCCCTCTTCCAATGGAACTGATGGCCTAGAATACATTCTAAGTCAGAACAAAAGAATTTTAGAATTTTGTCAAAGAGCACAACTTGGAGTGAAGCAGTATTTGCCCCACTACAACACACAGCAAGAATGGAGGGCCCATTTTGGTCCTCAATGGGAAACTTTTCTGCAGAGAAAGTCTGTTTATGATCCATTGGCAATACTAGCTCCTGGCCAACGCATATTTCAAAAAGCAATAACCTTCTCATGACAGCAGTCTCCACATTTTATTTTATTGTTAATAATCTTTGAAAAAAAAATAGTCCTTCATGGAAGTGCCAAAATTAAAATGTTATATGATCCAGACAGGTTTGGACACACAGAACATACAGAATTAATGCAAAGGAGGGTTATTGACTGATAGCAGAGAAAAAGAGATAACAGAATGATGAATGCTGAGATTTGTATGCTGGCAGGGTAATAAGAAAAGTTGTCAGTGTGTGTATGTATCATTACTGATGGAAAAATTGCATTACATGCTCATGTAGCACCAAGGCAGCAGGGTCCACCTGAGATCAATATGGTCAACAAAAGGGATAAAATATTTGAGACATTAATTATTGTAGGGTTTCCAAAAGAACTTATAAATATTTGAGACATTAAACTCTTCCTTATCTATTCTCTCTCTCATGCAGCCAAGCTAAGTTCATTAAGAATATTATTACAGATATTCATATATCCACCACAAAAAGATAGGAAGCAAAAAGTACAGATAAGATGACACATAATGCTGAGTGACAGTATTTTACAAATTGCTGAAAAATGCAAAATGAATATGGCTAACATGCAAGATGATGAACATTCAATCCGTCACAGTCCATTCCGGTGATTGTATGTGGTAGCAGCTACAACATAGTGATGTGTGTGTTAGTAATACATAATTGATAAATTAAAAAGGTGTTTCATTAGTAAAATTACCCACTCATAAATCATTGTTTGCTTTGTGTTAAAGGTTCTATATCGACTAGAGATAAAACTAATTTAAAGTATATAAATTGATGCAAACCTCATATTACACATCAGTTTTATAGAATTGAGTTAAATTTAAAGTCTATTTTTTAACGACTTTTTTAACGAAAGCAACCATTCATAAAAAAATGGGATATATAACTAACCAGGACAAACTTTGTCTAAATGAACGAAGCTTCTTTTGTCATAACTAATCAACGTGTAGTTTGAACTTATCTAGAGTGTTTTACTTACTGCCAGAAAAAGAACAGCATCGGCATAATTGGAAACGCTGATGGCAAATTAATGGCAAAAGAATGTTAAAAAGTGTATTTATTTGTTGAACCTAGTCCCTACCATCTTAATGTTGAAGTTATGCATGTTCATGCCATAATACTTGTGGAAAACATTCAAAGTTTTACGATTTTATTATCCTTCTTTTTGAACTACTTGTAGTGGGGTATATTTTCCCTTATTTGGTTATCTATGCATAATTGTTCCCATCACTAAAAAGGAAAAGATCTATTAAAAAGCTAACTGAAAAGGGAGAAATGCGTTACTGTTGAAGAGATTCCATCGTGGTGTGTCAGAATTAGAGGGGGAAGGAAATTTGGTTGCTTCTAGACCATTTCTCTTGTTCACTGGAATACACATCACCCAGAATGTTTTTGGGTATCAAAAAGCCTGCTTCTGGATTCTGGTTTTGAACCACTCACCTGACAACCACACAAAATGGACTAAAGTTATCCCATCAAACAGTAAAGCACAACCTTTCCACGTAGATGAGACCACGATGCATCTTCACAAGATTTGCTGCTGGCTTGGAAATTGATAGCATTCAAAAAGAGCTTACCCAGATCACCATAGTAAATTTAGTGCATGGAAGTACATAATAATGTGGAACGTTTTTAATGTTAAGATATAAATAAAGTCTCAGTAAAATAAAATAAGAAATGGATATGAATTTATATACACGTAATATATTTTTTTTACAAAAAATATTTTATCAGTGTAAAAATTTATGTATATTATTAAACTTTTTACAATTGATGACAGAAAACCAGACGAATAATGAGAAGTTTATCGGTGTGGAGATCTACGTGTGTCAGTCCTTTCTATACATGAAGTTTGAAACTTTATTTTCTAGAGAATCATACACAGAACGGAAAATCATACACAGAATGGAAAAAAAGCAAGGGTGAAGGGACCATCTGCATAAAGCACCTTATAATCAAGCACCAGCTAGTGCCAGATTGGTAGGTACATCTTTAATAATTATTCAGCACAAGAATCTCAATATATATGTGTTCTAGCAAAAAGGGTTCAGGTTACTATCAGCTAAAGCATTATCTCATTTTGTTTGCTTTAGAGTATTCTCATGGCCTTCTTCTATTCCTTTATTAACTCTAATATCATATCTTAAAAGTCTCTCATTCATTTTCTCCTCAAAGATTACTAACTTGATTAAAATATTTCTTTTTTAATAGGCACTAAACCTAATGATCAGGCCTGACACCAGAATATTTGATGTGTGAAAAAGGAAAAAGAAAGCTAAGCATGTGTAGCGTTTGATAAACTGTTAAATAGTTTATATATGGTATTTTAAGAACAATAAAGTTATCGAACTTGGAGGGTTAAAAGGTGGTATGCTTTGATTTAAAACTGAAAATGGTGGAACCTGTGAATAGAATGGAACAAAATATTTTGTTGTGTTTTGTTCTCACGTGAAATAAAGTAGTCCCTACCAATTATGGAAGACAAGAAAGAATCTATTGATGAATGGAACTATGGGCTGACAGACAGCATATGATACGAAAGTTGTCTCTCAAATGTTGTATCTGTCCCAGATTCCTGTAATGAGTACATGGAAACTATATTTTTCAACATTCAAACACTGTGCATGAACTCTGTTCTGAACTTTACGTTCAGATCGCTATAAATGAATTAAAACTTGATTCATGGTTCAGTTCAGATACCATGCTGAAAATCAACTAAATTTCTTAGTTATTCCTGCTTGTTTTGAAGGAAAGTATATGACTAAGTGTTTGATCACGAATAACATATTGACTCCTTTTTCATTGATGTTCACGTTTGAATTACCAGAAATCGTATTCAGTATTTCCATCTGATAGTTCTTGAAATTTCTCATAATTTTCTAGTGATGTTGAGGTATGCTTGCAAGCATTCATTTTGTTCAAATTATTTAGTTAGTTAAAACATTATATGTGGTGATATGTTAATTAACTATTCAACTGAGCTTAGATGAAAGGTGTAAAAGGGCCCCTTTATTCAAATGAATGTCTTTTTTCATCAATGTTTTGTTTTTGTCAAAGAATTTTTTCCTTTAATGATTTGGTCCTCTCTTCTCAAGCATTTTCCTCTTTTTATATTGAACACGATATCCAGCTCGAGATCTGTTTTCTCTTTAATTGCAATTTAATCTTGATACTAATATTTAGAATCAGTCAAATGATTTTCACCATAGAGAAAAATCACAGACTTATTTTCAGAGGGATTAAGCGCAAAATCAATGAGGAAACAAAACTAAGTCTACCATAAATTGAGGTTGATCTATGAACATAATCTTATAATACTTACTCATTAACACAATCATGACTAATTATAAAAAAGTAAAATATTCATAAAAAAAATAAATATTTATACTTAAATAAAAATATAAAATAATACCATTGAATAAATACAAAAAAAAAAAAAAATTGATATGTGTCAAAGTATTTCATCCTTCGTCGTCTCTTCAGTAGGCTCAGAGGTTCCATCCCTACTGCCCTGGTTAGCATCAAGCATCTGTGACGAAGAACACGCTGTCTCATCCTATAACCAATAACATAACCAATAAATAATAATAATAATAATAATAATAATAATAATAATAATAATAATAATAGAAAGAAAATGTGGATAGATAGTTTTGTTCTTCTTACATGAGAATCGATAGAGGAAGAGTGATTTCTTAATGGTAAAGCGGAAGGACGGGGTGGTGACGTGGCAGAAGCAGAGGACGGTGGAGGCGCTTCATTCTCCCCTTCTTTTTGTGGTTGGGGAACATCGTTGACCAAGAGCCGCAACCTGGCAGTTCGATCCCCGAGACAAGGTTGACAAAAGGAGATGGAGGGCGTGAGTTTGGTGCCGGAGGCTTTCCAGGGAGTGAGAGAATGACACGAACGACACAGAAGCACACGAGAATGCCTCGCCACCAAGAAATTGGCGCTGTGAACTTTGCCGTCGCACTCCCAGCACAGCTTTGCCTGGTCCGCGTCGCACAACATCGCCGCCCTCTTCTTACACAGCGCGCATGACTCCTCCATTTCTTCTCACTTCTCTTCTCATTCTTCCCTCAATCCAATGTGTTATTATTATACTAACTTCCTTTCTCCGATTTAGCCGGAGACTAGATTTTTCTCCCGCGAAAAACTCCTTTCATCAATCCACATAATCCAGCACTGTTGGATATTTTTCACCTCTGCAACTACCTCCAATAAACTTTCTATATCTTTCTTCCTCTTCACTTTTAACTCAATTTCTCAACTCTTTTATCTTTCCACTAAATTTAAATTTCACGAAAATATACATTTTTAAACATAGAGGACAAAAAAATTATTAATTTTATAATTAAGAAATTAAAATATCAATGTAAATTTAAAAAACTAAAAATATCACTTTAACAAAAAAAATGAAAATAAATTTATGTTACTATTTCCAATATATAACACTTGACTGCGTTAATTAACTGTCATAATTCAAATAAATGAAAAAACAAAATGGTTCTCACATAAATTTTCTTTTTCCTTTAAACCTCAAATGAAACTTATTTCTCTTAAATATAATGTTATCTCAACAATTTAAAATCAGAATATATATGCATATATTATATAAAGTAAAATACGTGTTCTATAGTTATACAATATCTTAAATTTATTTTAATAATTAATATTGTATATGCATATGGTATCATATTATGATGATCATATTTGTGGAATAACTTATCATTTGAAATATTCATTAACCTAAATATCGAAGTTTAAAATATCGAAGTAGATAATTATATTAATTGTTATAATTGTGAATCTGTTGATCAATCAAAATTTTAGGATAATTATAAATGACCAATAATGGGGACAAATATGTGACCCTTACAATTCATGTGACACATTCAATCCTTTTAGAAAACATATAGGATTTTACATTTATAATGTTACTTTTATATTTTTTGAGTTTTAGTAATCATGTTTTAAAGACAAAAATAACATTTTAACGACTTTTTTTTAAATAAACGTGTTATTATTTTATTGGTTTGTATATTTAAAACGAATTATTTACAAACTATTAGTTCTATAAAAATTGTAAAAAAAAAGTTATTAAAGATACATTTTTCATATTTTAATTCTGCAATGAGATGTGTAAGGCCAATAAAACTAAATTATTGAGTCGCATAAATTTGATATATTAGTTTTTGTAAAGCAAAAGTATTTTTCAAAACAAAAGTAAATTATTTACTTTTTGAGATACTGTTGATAAAAAAAGATATTATGGTAATGTAAAAGAGTAAAATGAGAACGTTTTATAATTAATTATGAAGAAAACGAAGGATGTTACGGTAATTGGCTTTAGTGCTCCTCTTCTGTTTTGTTTGTCTGTGGCAGCTTTCTCTTTCTTGTTCCCGCCATATTAGGCGTCGTTTGAAACTTTCTTTCTTTCTCTTCCTCGTTTCGTGTTTCTTAATCAAACCAACATTGTGACCAAAATAGTAAAAGAAGAGAGTGATTGTTAATGGAGAAAGCTTAGTGATCAGTGAATAGCAATGGAGAAGTACCTGAGAGAAAACTTCAGCGTCCAGCCGAAGAACCCTTCGGAGTCCGCCCTCCGCCGATGGAGATCCGCGGTCTCCGTCGTCAAAAATCCCCGCCGCCGCTTCCGCATGGTCGCCAATCTCGCCCAACGCGCCGAAGCGGAACACAAGCGTAGAAAGCTCCAGGTACACATTCGTCTCTTCCGTTTTCCATTCCAATACCTAATCTCTGTGAATCGATTGTTGTAATATCCATTACTTCTCTCTTTTCCGTTTCGGATCAAAGAACCGATTCCACTGTTGAAACATGTATATATATATGCATCGGTTTTACCATTTTCGGCTTCAGAAAAACTCACACTAGATCAAAATCCGATTGGTTTTGCTCCTTTTGCATATTTCATTAAATTTCTCGGTGAAAACGCAGCCACATCGGTAGCGTAGCAAGCAATGAAAGCTAGTTCTAAGTGTAATCAAGTTCTTACTGAACCAGCTACATAGTAATTTAGTTACCTACTCTTGTTTATTTTTAAATATAATTAACGCATGTGAATTAATCCTTTTAATAAAAAATGTTTACGTTGATGTATAGATCCGGGAGAATTGATTAATCGTTAACTTGGTGTCGCCGGAGCTTCTTTTCACGTTACCTCGATTTAAGAATCAGAGCGGCACCAACAAANTCCTCCAAATCACCATGAAGGAAAACTATCTTCACATCCATCTGCTCAACCTCCAAATCTATAGTAGCAGCTAAACTTAACACAGTTTTGATGGATGTCATCCTCACCACAGGTGAGAAAATCTCATTGAAGTCAACACCCTTTCTTTGTCTGAAGCCTTTCACCACTAATCTAGCTTTATATCTAGTAGATGTAGAATTGCTCTCTTGCTTCACCCTGAAAATCCACTTGTTCTCTAAGGCTATCTTACCCTTAGACAACTTCACCAAGTCATAAGTGTGATTATCATGCAGAAATTTCATCTCATCTTGCATTGCATCCAACCTCTTTTGCTTTTCTTCACTTTCAATAGCCTCCTCATAACATTCAGGTTCCCCCTTATCAGTCAACATCACATACTCATTGGTAGAGTACTTCTTAGAAGGTTGTTTTGGCCTGTCAGATCTTCTGGGTTGAGCTTCTAGTAACTCAGGTATATCACCAAGACTCTCATTTAGTGACACATCATGTTCCTCTTCATCAACATTATCAATAGGAACATCCAAGTCATCTCCAATCTGCTGATTATCAATATCACCATTTTGTTCATCATCATGAACATCAATATCCAAATCATTAATAAACAACCGAATTGGATCAAAATCAACCACATTACCATCTTCCTTAGCTGTAGACTTCTCCACCTTATCAATATCTTCAATGGTTTGATCTTCCATGAATTGCACATCACGATCTAACAACTTTCTTTTCAACGGGGTCATACAACTTGTAGCCAAATTCATCCTGACCAAAGCCAATGAAGATGCATTGCCTTGTCTTCACATCTAACTTGGATCTTTCATCCTTTGGAACATGAACAAATGCTTTACAACCAAAGACACGCAAATGATCATAAGTAACATTCTTGTCAAACCAAATCTTGTCTGGCACCTCAGAGTTCAAAGCAACTGCAGGACTTAAATTAATAACATGCATTGATGTAAACAATGTCTCACCCCAGAAATGCTTAGGCAATTTTGCTTCAGAAATCATACACCTAACTCTTTCAATTAATGTCTTATTCATCCTCTCTACTAAACCATTCAACTAAGGAGTTTTGGGAGGAGTCTTCTCATGTGGAATACCATACTTTCTACAATAAGCATCAAATAGTCCACAATATTCACCACTATTGTCAGTACGAATGCGCTTCAGCTTCCTGCCTGACTGCCTCTCAACCAAAGCATGAAATTCTTTAAACTTGTCCAACACTTGGTCCTTTCTCTATAGTGCATAAACCCAAAGCTTCCTGGAATAATCATTAATAAAAGTAACAAAGTAAAATGAACCACTAAAAGATTTTACCTTCAATGGGCCACAAACATCAGAATGCACTAATTCAAGGTACTCTGACTTCTTGGAAGGATGATGCTTCTTGAAGGATACTCTGATTTGTTTACCAGTCATGCAGTGAGAACATTTCTCCAACTCTACACTCTTCAATACTGAAAGAACATCCTTTTTAGCTAAGCAGTTAAGTCATTTTTCACTAATATGCCCAAGCCTTCTATGCCACAAAGATGACTCCATATACACGACATTCACACTATCTTTAGCAACCAAAGTTTTTGTCTAGTAAAGCTTATAGTTTTTCTCCCCTTTAGCCACAATCAAGTTACCTTTGGTGAGCTTCCACTTTCCAGAACCAAAGTGGTTATCAAATCCACCATCATCAAGTACCTGCACAGAAATCAAGTTAAAGCGAACATCTGGAGCATATTTAACTCCTCTAAGCAACAACTGCATCCCCATGTTGGTTTGCAAGTGAACATCACCAACACCAATAACCTTAGACACCCCATCATTACCCATCTTCAAAACTCCAAAATCACCAGGTGTACAAGATTTGAAGAACTCCTTCCTGGATGTAACATGTAGTGTAGCACTACTATCAATTATCCACATGCTCTCATTAGATACAAGATTAATAGTGTCATAATCACGAAGACAAATAAGGTCACCACATGTAGTAGTAGTAACACGATCACCATCATCAATATCTTTATCTCTTTGCTCACTCTTTTTGTCTTTGCTTTCTTTCTTCAACAAAAAACAGTTCTTCTTTATATGCCCTGTTTTGTGACAATAGTGACACTCCACATTCTTGTACCGAAACCTGGACTTGCTCCTGCTTTTATCTCTACCACTATTTTGTTCTTTCTTTCGATTTCTCCCCCTATTCTCTATGATAAGCACTTTTGAATGAGATGAAGTACCATGTGTTTTCTTTCTCATCTCCTCATTAAGAGCACCACTCTTTGCCATTTGTAAAGAAATATCACCATTAGGGGTAGCACTTATCATGGAAACCCTAAATGTCTCCCACAAATCCGGTAAAGAGTTTAATAGGAATAAGCCCAATAGATCATCATCAAATTTTATACCTACTCCTGCTAATTGATCATAGCGTCCTTGAAATTCACTCAAGTGATTTGAAGCAAGAGTTCCTTCCTTGTACTTCAACTTCACAAAATTTTTCAACAAGTACAATTTATTAGTCCTTGACTTAGAAGCATACAAGGACTCAAGCTTATTCCTTAGGATTCTCGCATGTGTCTCATTAGGAACAAAATTATAAACATTATCATCAACAAATTGCCTGATAAATCCACATACCTGTTGATGTTCAAAATCTCATTCTTCATCTGACTTGGATTTAGGCTTATTGGAAGCAAAAGCAGGAAGGTGCAAATTTTTCACAAATAGCAAGTCCTTCATCTTGTCTTTCCATAGGTGATAATTTTATCCGTTCAAAAGAATCAATTTTGTATGTGCCTCCAGCATTCACGCAAACTAAACAATCCCTTAAACAAAGAGTTCTGATGCCACTCTAATGCGGGAAGGGCCAAAAAATATAACAACTTAGAAAAAAGTAATAACGCAGCGAAAGTTCAATCCCCCTTCTTGCGAGAATCTGTGAGGAGCACCAAACAAATAGAACAAAAATAGAATCCAAATCACAAAGAGACACTAACAATTTTTAACGTGTAAAATCCCTCAATGCAAGGGTAAAAATCACAAGTCGTCCAGACCAAAGAAAAATCCACTATGATCAATAATAGGATACAAAAGAGTCTCCAATAATAACACCAAATGGTGTGTTCAATAAGCCAATTTAAATAAGCACAAATGCTTACAAATGAGAACAGAGAAGGTGAAAATTCTCCTAAACAGGGCTATTGGTGCAGGACCGATTTCTCCAGATCTAGACCTCTGATTGACGATCCGAACAATTAGAATGAAGAACCATATGTCTGGAACCTACTGTCCAAAAATCAGCTCGATCCAACAATGAACGAATTCACAGCGATGAAAACACCAATGCAGGTTTAGGGTTATGCAGGAATAACTTTCTCTCTTCATTTTTCTCTCACTTGGCTTTTGCCTCTCTTCAAATGACTCTAATGTTTCCTACTAATCTGACCCATCTCTATTTAACCTAGTGAGACATAAAGGTCCACATTATTTGAGCCTATTCTCCACATAGGAAGGGAGCCCAATAACCCAACACTTTTCACCGTATCGTTAAACCCTTTCTATGTATTTCAGACCCAAGTCAATAATTGATGTTTTAAGAACCAGAGCACAATGGTTTGAGACTTGTCTAGCCTGAATATATTGTTTACAATCAAGCCACTGCTCTAACCATTTTGAGGATACCAAAACTTATATGTTCTGCTCATAGTAAGTTATGTCTCACTTAGGGTGTGTTCACTTTAAATGATTGATTTGGGGGAGAATGGGTGGATGAATTTTGAGGAGATTTGAGAGTGAATTGATTATTGTTTGTTTGAAGAGATTTGGAGGTGAGTGAGAATGAATTTTGAAGTAAAATTTGCGAAAATTAGTTTAGAATTTGACCAATGTGACAAATAAAAAAATTGTTTAATTGATAATAATTAAATATTACTAAAATACCTTTAATAGTAAAAGTAATATAAAATTGTAATTGTTAATATTATATATAATTGTAAAAATTATTATAGAAAGAGAAAAAAATAAAAATTAATTTTTAAAAAAAAAAATATAATATTATTGTTTTTATTATTATTATTATTATTACTATTATTATTATTATTATTATTATTATTATTATTATTATTAAAATCACAGGGATAATATAATAAAAATACAACACTTTTCTTCAAATATATGCTAATACGAAAGATGTGAGTTGATGAACGATCCCGCTTTTCTATCTGCAACATCAACTTCATTTCCTCTAAAGTGAATAGAAAAGTTTTTTCATCTTCTTAAATTCCATCTACAATGCAATACATTCAAGTTTACTGATCCGTCAAAAACGGTTTTCATGTCCACGAACACTTTTATGAGACAGTTATAAACTAAAATTTATTTGCAATATTTCACAATAAGTAGAAAGTTATATTTTTTATTTTGTATGAACCAATATTGGTTTACGAAAAAGGTTCTTCAGTTACTTTTATCTCTGATAAGTTTTTATGAAAAAACTTACTCACAGATACACTTATTTTTATCCTTTTATTTATTAATTTATATAATAATAATTTTTTAACAAAAAAATTGAATCCTTGCTAGTAATAAACAAAAAATAACATGCTTATATAAGAAAAGTCAGCATCTAAAACTATGATACTCATTTGCTAGTGTAATAGTATTATACGGTAGTGTCAAGAAATTCATAGTGCCGTATTTGGAATCGATAATTTGCTAAAAGCATGACATTTTGAATTTCGATATAGAAGTTACTATTCATTTCCAATTTTGTGAGATACAAAAGGAAAAGAGAAAAAGAAAAGTGTTGTGGATTTGACAGAAATGTTACACTTGACCAAGTGTTATGACACATGTAAAATTTGAGGGCGAAGACTATGACAACAAGCAACGAAATATGATTGATTATTCACGGCTTGCCCCATTCTTCCCAAAACTACGTTCAGAGGGTATCAGAAAAGTCCTTTTAGTATATCATCTCACGAACAAAATATTGAAAGGACTGATTTTTTTGTTTCGTAGTGTCTTTAAGTTCATGAGTCATTTGCTTTTGTAAACTATCTCTTCATCATCCACATCAAATGCTGGATTACAGAGGCATTTGAAAAGTCTACCGAGACCCTGCAGAAGAAAGAATAAATGTGTACGTATTTTCGTAATCAGAGTATCGTGAATACATGGTGGTATAAACATAATTTTTGTGATTAGTTGTAAATATTTCCACATATACCTGCGTGAAAAAGGGAGTTCGATAGGAAATTGCTCTAGGCGATTCATCGTCTGAAGAATCAGAAGTGCTTCCTTCGTCATCAGAACTAGCTGCAATCTTCTTCCTCAAAGTTTCTCCTTTTGGATACTTGTCCTGAAGGAAGCATTAGTTTTATCAGCAAACTTGATGATGGTAACTTGCTTTGCGCCCTTGTGGGGCACGAATCTGGCCTTAAAATAATATGCAAATTGCAAAGAATTTATATATGAAGACACAGATTCACTGTTATATTATGAAAGGTACATAATTGTCTTTGATTTTCTTTTATGTATCTAAACATTTTGAAGTTTACCTAGTGTCAGAGACAGATAGATATCATGCTTAGACCGTGGGGAAAGGGTGGCATGGGGCAGAGCATCGTGCAGATAACAAAAGTTACACTGAAACAATGTTTTAGTGATGTAGTATATGTTTTCATGGATCTACTTTAAGAAATTGTTTATATCTCTGTAATATATATATATATATATATATATATATTTGTCTTGTAAATATGCCAATCGTAAGAATTTATGCATTCATATACAAGCGACTAAATAGCTTTTGTAACAACAATATATTCTTGCTTAAAAGATAGAGAATACATTTTCATGTTTGCAGTGTAGATTGTCATCTAGAAATAGCTTTGAGATACATAAGTATCCAGTGAATGTTCTTTTTCTGTGATTAGTAAGAAAATGACTACCAACACCAATAACATGAGCAATGTCTAGACTTGTACATACTATGACATACATTAAGCTATCAAGTGAAACTCAACTTGAAGTGATACTAGACTTAGAATTATTTGTATTAAATTTCTGATAAGTTCTCATTATGTTTTTGTTGTGATACTCTCCATTTTTCATTCTTAATAATTTTAAAAGTCGGGGATTTATTTGAAGACCTAAATTCTCCAAAAGACTTGTTCAGTTCTTTATGAGACCTTAAATCTCGCTCATGTTGTTATCAATGTTACATCAAAAGAATAATAATTTTTTCATAAAAATAAAATTTACAAGAATATGATCATCAAATGAGGTTTCATGATACATGTGATCCATCAAAATTGCTATACCACCACTACGGGAATTTTAGATCACAGAACAGGTTGATATGACTATGAATGAGGGAATATTTGAAGATTGAAAAGGCTATTACATACCTCAATTATAAATCGAAGACACCAACATCAAACGAAAAAAGAGAAAAATTCCCTCTTCTCTGTTGCACATTAAATCGTATTACCGCAGTTCTATCATACATTACTTTCAATTAAAGGTAACAAATTTCCAAACGAAGTAGTAAAGGAAAGTAAAACTATTCAAAACATCATATATATCATTTTCTGGTTCAGAAACACCAAGAGAATGTGTGGATACCAACTATGTAATGGTTTAATTGCATCTGTTTTCTAACAAATACAAAATTGAGATGACAGTCATCAAATTATTCAGAATGCTATAACGTAATCGTATTATGATCTACTAAACCAGGGATTTCATATAACTCCTAAGCATACGGTTTCTAAGCTCTGATCCTCTATAATAATATAAATATTATAAAACATTATAAAATCAAGGGCAAAGAAGAAAATAAGACAGACACTGGTAAATACTAAAGGATAATCACCACGGGTAAAGAAGAAAGGACTCAAAGTAGTGTAGCACAGCGAACATCTTCGCTTTTTTATATTGTATATAGCATTAAACTGGACAAACAGCTTGCATGGCTTAACTACGTATGCATGTTATCTCAATTTCATGAAACTAATTCATTTGAGTTTCGTAATAGAAACAATTAAAACATGTATCGAACTAGGCCAGCTCTATGTTGAAAAACTACAATGGTGTAAAAGATAAAGAGTAGAAGCTTTATAAAGGTGGTGAATAATGTATGTTGTCCTATTGGCAGCCATTTCATTTGACTTTATCAAATTGTGTTCCGACTATGATAAGCAGTATGTTATGTGCAGTGTAGTGTGCTTTTTGTTTAGCTAAGGAACTGTTATGTTTAATCTCTGGCACTATGAAAATATGTCGCTCTTATTACTATCTTGACCAGGAAAAAATACGGGTGGCTCTCTATGTTCAAAAAGCAGCGTTGCATTTTATTAACGGTATACACGCTTAATCACTTTCATTCACCCTTTTGTTTTGGAAAATGTTATTTGGACAACAAAAGTTTGACACAGTTTTGACAACGGCGACGTGGCAGCTGTGCATTGGCTCAGTGAATTGAAAACAAACCAGAAAAAACCCAAAATACCCCTCACCCCGGTTCACTGAGCCAATGCACAGCTGCCACGTCGCCGTTGTCAAAATTGTGTCAAACTTTTGTTGTCCAAATAACATTTTCCTTTTGTTTTTCACTCGCTGTTTTGTTACATTTTTTTTCTTTTCCTTCTCATTCAGCTGGGAGCCGTCGTGATGGTGATGTTGGTGACGGCGGAGGTAAAGGTGGTGGTGTCGGTGGCGACACCGGTGATAATCAAGGTTACACGCTCTCAAAAGCGACTCGGGAAGCAGGCTTCGAAATTGAGCCCGACGAATTAGCCTCCATTGTTCGATCCCATGACAAGAAATGTTTAGAACGCTACGAAGGAGTGGAAGGAGTAGCAAGGGTTGTTCGTGTGTCCTTGCAAGAGGGCGTTATTTCGGTAGATGTTGAGCACAGACAAAATATCTATGGCTGTAACCGGCATGCCGAGAAGCCCCCTAGAAGCTTTTGGATGTTCGTTTGGGATGCAATGCAGGACTTAACTCTAATCATCCTTATGGCATGTTCATTCGTTTCAGTTGGTGTTGGAATTTTAACCGAAGGTTGGCCAAAAGGTATGTACGATGGAGTGGGAATCATACTATCTATACTTTTGGTGGTCTTTGTCACTTCAATCAGTGACTATAAACAGTCTTTGCAATTTAAGGACTTGGATAAAGAAAAGAAAAATGTCAGCATTCAAGTAACAAGAGACGGTAGAAGGCAAAAAGTTTCAATTCATGATCTAGTGGTAGGAGACATGGTCCATCTTTCAATAGGAGACGTAGTTCCTGCAGATGGGTTATTGATATCTGGTTTCGGCTTATTAATAGACGAATCAAGTCTATCAGGTGAGAGCGACGCCGTAAATGTTGATAATCAGAAGCCTTATCTTCTTGCTGGGACCACAGTGCAAGATGGGTCTGCAAAGATGTTGGTCACGTCCGTTGGTGTGAGGACGGAATGGGGAAGATTGATGGATACTCTGAACGAAGGAGGAGATGATGAGACACCACTTCAGGTCAAACTAAATGGAGTTGCAACCATTATTGGTAAGATAGGTTTGGGTTTTGCCCTTCTCACGTTCATAGTTCTGACGGGCAGGTTTCTGTGGGGGAAAATAGCTCACCATGAGATCACAAAATGGTCTCTGAATGATGCATCCAAGCTTCTCAATTTCTTTGCCACCGCCGTCATTATTATAGTTGTGGCAGTTCCCGAGGGGCTTCCTTTGGCAGTCACACTAAGCCTTGCATTTGCAATGAAGAAATTGATGAATGACAAGGCACTGGTCAGGCATCTCTCCGCATGCGAGACCATGGGTTCAGCAAGTTGTATTTGCACTGATAAAACAGGAACTTTGACTACAAATCACATGGTTGTAGACAAAATATGGATTTGTGGACAAACTAAGGCCGTTAAAAGCGACCACAGTGAAAATTTGTTGAAGCCCTTGATTTCTGAACAAACATTTGATCTTCTTTTGCAATCCATATTCCAGAATACTGGCTCAGAGATAGTCAAAGGGCTAGATGGAAAGAACAAGATCATGGGTACCCCCACAGAATCCGCTTTGTTGGAATTTGGCTTGCTTTTGGGAGGTGATTCCAAGTTTTATAACGACAAGTATAAAATAGTGAAGGTTGAACCTTTCAATTCAACCAGAAAAAAGATGTCAGTGCTGGTGGCTCTTCCCGGTGGCCCCAACAAGTATCGAGCATTTTGCAAAGGAGCATCAGAATTGGTTGTGAAAATGTGCGACAAAGTTGTCGACGCAGACGGCAAAGTGGTCCTTTTGAACGAACAACAAAGGAGTAGCATCACAGAAGTTATCAACGGATTTGCTTCTGATGCTCTGAGAACACTCTGCATTGCCTTCAACGATATTGAAGGATCTTCTGAACGAGGTAGTATTCCTGAAGACAAATACACGTTGATATCTATTGTTGGGATCAAGGATCCAGTCAGGCCTGGAGTAAAAGAAGCTGTCAAGACTTGTTTAGAAGCTGGCATTGTCGTTAGAATGGTGACTGGTGACAACATAAACACTGCCAAAGCAATAGCTAGAGAATGCGGCATATTGACAGATGGAATTGCGATAGAGGGACCAGATTTCCGGAACAAGTCCCAGCAAGAACTGGAAAAGATAATACCGAAAATTCAGGTCTAGATTACTCTTCAAAGGATACTACTTTTACTGTTTTAGCAAGGATAATACATTTACAAATCGGTTTCTTGGTGTTTGTAGGTAATGGCCCGATCCTTGCCCCTTGACAAACACAAATTAGTGACCCATTTGAGGGAGGATTTTAACGAGGTTGTCGCAGTAACTGGGGATGGCACCAATGATGCCCCAGCGTTGCATGAAGCTGATATTGGACTAGCCATGGGCATTGCAGGGACAGAGGTTTGTTGTTGTAGCCACAATCTATATATCACTTTCCATTTCTTGTTTCATACGATGTTATTGTCCGAAATGCAAGTGTCCGAAGACTTATTAATCTAATGCTTTAATGTCTAAGGTTTTCGGCAGAGAGTGATATATATAGTCGGTTTCATTTTTCATTTTGGTCACTTATTTTACATAGAACTGTGTGCTGAGTACTGTTAACCTCGATCTTCTCCAGGTTGCCAAAGAGAACGCGGATGTGATTGTAATGGATGATAACTTCTCGACCATAGTGAAGGTTACCAGATGGGGGCGTTCTGTTTACATTAATATACAAAAGTTTGTTCAGTTCCAGTTAACAGTTAATGTTGTAGCTCTCATGCTGAATTTCGTTTCAGCCTGCGTGTCAGGTAATAATACGTATAACCAGCTTTTCAAGCCACGGCTAAATTACTGGTTCGATTCAGATGAGTAATCACAACAGAAATTCATTTCAGGCTCTGCTCCTCTCAGTGCTGTTCAAATGCTTTGGGTAAACATGATCATGGACACTCTCGGCGCGTTGGCACTGGCTACAGAACCTCCGCATGATGGGCTGATGAAGAGGCCCCCTATAGGAAAGAACGCTAAATTCATCACCAGGATCATGTGGAGGAACATAATCGGTCAGAGCATCTACCAAATTATGGTCCTTTTGGTTCTCAAATTTCGTGGCAAACAGATTCTCAAGCTCGATGAACACGACGATACTACCTTGCTTCTGAACACAGTCATATTCAACAGCTTCGTATTCTGTCAGGTAATAATAGTCAGTTAACGGCTGGCCTAGAATAACATCGTATTCTGCTAACTTCCATGCATGCAACCATTGAAAAGAACATTCTGTGTGATTAATAGGTTTTCAACGAGATAAACAGCCGTGACATGGAGAAGATCAATGTTTTCGAAGGCATGATAAGCAGCTGGGTGTTCCTTATAGTGATGAGCATAACGATATGCTCTCAAGCCTTGATAGTTGAATATCTTGGTGCTTTTGCCCAAACGGTACCGCTCAGCCGGGAACTGTGGTTTGTAAGCGTCATGATCGGTGCGGTGAGTTTAGTCGTAGCTGTTCTCCTCAAGTGCATTCCGGTACCATCCAGCACCTACGTCGCCGCCGCCACCCACCATGACGGTTACGAACAGCTCCCCACTGGCCCTGATCTCGCTTGAATATTCACTATATACCATATCTTTTTTCAAACCCTTCACCCTTATGGAAACATATACCATAACTTATCACCATTTTAGAGTTAGCTTCCACCATTCCTACCTTTCTTTCTTCCCTCATTCTCTTCAGAACCTTATCATCGTCAGAATTCCTCAACCCTACCTTGACTTTTTCTCTGATCTTTATCATCATCACGATACTTTCCGATCATGATACACAAATTTTTTTAAAAAATATTTTTTTGTCTCTAGTACATTAAATTTGCTAGTAAACATAGGCTAAGTTTAGAATTTTCTGCTTAATTGTTAACTTATGATTATTGGTGAAAAGTTATTAGTTTAAGAATAATGTTCATTTTTTAAACCATGTTTATTCTTTTCTTCACATACTATGTATTAACTCTATCGTATACTTCACTCTTCTCTTATATCAGTTTCGTGGAATATTCTTATAGCAGTTTATTTTAGACTCTTTCTTTCTTAAAGAACTTAAAATTTTCTTCTTCTTTTTTCTGGGCAAAATTGAAAGGTTTTTAAGATTAATTTTAAGAACTTTTGACCATTATTTTTTTTCTTAATTTTAAAAGCGTTAATCTTTTTACGCATATTTGACCCTCTTAACTATTCTTCAGTTAAAAGAATTATTTTCGTATTTTAATTTATTATCTACATCTCTGAAGTAAATTTGTATATTGTTTCAAGTTAAATTATTTATTAAAAAATTAATTTATCTATTTAAATTTATTTATCTCTTATTTCTTAGATGTTCTACTTTCCCCTTATTAGTGTTATCAAAATTGGACGGTTATTAACTTGGTAAACATACTAAATTTAAATAACTGGTACAACCATTACGTACCTCCTTAGTTTAATCATATGAACTAGTTATTAAATATATAGTTTATGGTTTAGATCTAGTGTATGTATATTTTTTATAAATCATTTAAATACATTTGTGTTGATATATTAATGTTCATGATACTTTCCAACTACTGCAAGAAACATGAGTTTGATCCTCTTTCAAGCATAATAATAATATTCATTTTGGCTCTTATTCGTCTTTTAATAAAATATGAGTTGAGTTTAATTAATACATATTAATACTACCTTTATAATTTACAAACTTCACCTTTTTATTTTCAATAATCCCCCCAATCAAATAATCTTATTAGCAAATACCAAATTATATAAACCTCACTCTTTTAAAATTATCACAATCAGTATCTAAAGCTCTTTAATCATCTTTTTTTCAAACCTAAAATGGTTAAAATCCTCTTAATTATCTATTTTACTTTGATATTTAAAATTAATTTTATTTAAATTTATTACAAATCTTGTATTTATATTTTAAATGGTCAAAATTTAAATTTTTGATAATCAAATAAGAATATTAACTGAATAGGTTGATGAGATCTTTTCCAACTTATAAGAGTTACTTTAGATTTTAATTAAAAAATATTCAAATCAATTTTGAATTCCAGCTCAACAGTGTGGTAACATTTTCTATACTTTTCATACATTTAGAATTAACTTAACTGTAAAAATGAGTTCTTTTTCATACAACTTCAGACTTCAATATTTCAAAAGTCCCTTTTTAGTACATATGTAATCACGTATTTATTTTATTTTTTACCAAGTTTGGTTAAAAAATATTTTATATTTTTACTTTTCAATAAAATTGTCATATTAAGTTCTTTTTATTTCGTATTTTTAATTTATTAAAATAGTAAAAAGATTATTATCACCTTCGTTCTTTCCTTTTTGTTTCAAGTTTCTTATATAAAACAAAATCAGGAAATTAAAGTAATAAAATATAATATCCGAAACAACACCCTACATATTTTTTTTATAAATGTATTGGCAAAAGGCCAACTAAAAGCTGTTCCCGATATGAATTAGAACGTGTTATGTTATGTTATGTTTGTCATTTATTTGGTTCTATTTTTTATGACACTAAACCCAACAATTTATATATGGATTCAACATGACTAAACCTGCTTAACTTCTTGTTTGGATAAAGTAGATCATACAATAATTTAAATTAATATATCTTATCCAACTACTTAATTATTAGATGTTTTATTTAGTTTCCACAAATCCTTAAAAGTCGTCCTTTATCTCCAACATGTTTAACTGCAATGACACATTTATTAGAAAATACAATTGTTTATTCTAAGCTAGTACTAAGTACACTTCCATTAATTCTAAAATATACACATTTTTTCATATTCATAATAAAATGGCATTTATATTTTTTCCTAACATTTAAACAGACATATATCCCATATATGTTATTATTTTATTAAAATTATAACTTGAGATTATAAGATGTAAATGTGATCTAACATTATATGAAAGAATGTAAGTATAATTTTCCCATCATTTAATACAGCATATCTACACAACAAAACCCTAAATGCAATATAGTGAAGGAAAATTTAGATATCTGCATGGAAACCACCATAACCAAAAAATGAAAAGGGTTTTATATTTCCCTTTTTGTTTGAAGGAAAAGCCTATCCTGTATTAAAGATCGTTGACCATAGGATTCACCAACCAATTTAATTTCTCTTCCTACATTTTCCAAGTTACTAATTTTATCAATAATTTCTTCAAATCTCCACATAATTCATCACAAACTAAACTTGTCAAAGTATTTTTTGATCTACAATAGTCTAAAAAACTTCAATAAAATCTAACTCAAATTTGCAAAATGATTTTATAAAATAAGATTTATACTTGTTTATATATTATATATAGTATAAGTTAATCTTATTTCATAGATCTTCCAACATAACATAATAAATATAAAATCTTTAAAATGACAAACAATTAGTATTGATTCTGAGAGTTTGTAAACAGGAGTATGTTACATGACTGATATTCTTGTAAGACAGTAATAAAAGTGTTGAAAAATGTTATCCTAGTTGTGCTGTGCTTGCTCAATCATGGAAGACAGTGATGGAAGGTCAAAACTTGAAGACTTGGGAGAAGAAAACCAAAAATGTCCATATATGTATGAAGTACTGCGCCTGATATTTTTGAAAATTAGGCAAAAAGAGTGATGGTAAATGTTTAAAAAAACAAATATAATATATCTTGTGAAAGTAGTATACAATCCGACCACAAACACTGCACTTGAAATTGCAACAATCAGAGGTTAACATCTGTTTCCCGATTGACCATGCTTCTAGAATCCTATGCCACAGAAATATAACCACATGCACGCATAAGACCGTGACATGTGCAAACATGTCTCGATCATAAAGGGAACAGGATTATTAATCACACATAGAATTCAGTCCCGAAAACACAGTCTAATTTGTGAACATCCAAGAAACGAAGCAAAACATGGATTTACTGGTGTCACTAGTCATGGGTCACACCACCATTGAGGTAACCTTCTGTTTGCCTATGGTCGCAAGTTGAATCATATTAAAAGGAAACTAACGTGTCAAAGCAAGCAAAAAGAAAACAACCAACCAACATTGCGGCTTGTGCTTATCCCACTCTCAGTGGTTTTCAACCTTTTGAACATTTGTAGTTTTCACAAACACCTAGGGGGCACTTGAAATGTTTGGAGAGGGCAAGTTAAAAAAAGAGAATAGCATAGCACAGCACAGTAACTGGCACGGCCCTTGTCACACACATTCAGAAGGCCACAGACCCCAAAAGATTCGAGTAACTGGTCACTTTTGTCATACGTGTGGGCATCTACCCTACTTTTAGATCTGTGCATGTCCTTTCCTGTCATGAAAGAGAATCTAAAGGGTAGAGAGATAAATATCTAAGAGAGAGAAAGTGGTACTGGCATCACTCACATGGGTAGAGGGACCTATGCACAACCTGTCATTATATAAATGAGTGTGGCCCACTTGCAGTGTCAGCAACCCCATGTGATTGTGTGCCTTGTGGACCCCCTTTTCTTTCCTCACCAATAATGGCAAAAAAAAGACAGACCCCACCATTTTTGCAAATTGAAACCCCAAAATAATTGAAGGAACAAAGAGACAAATTCTACTTTAAAATCAAAAGGCACAACACAAGAGGAGAGGCAAATAGACCAATTAGTCTAAAAACTCACTTTTGATTCTTCTTTCTAATTCTTTCTCTTTTCTGTCTGGCTTCATCATAACTGTGTATAACAACTAAGTAGAACAGCTACAAACATAAACTGAAACATAACATCCAAAGCTAAAGTCTCCAACTTTGAACTTTAACCCAGCTAAGACTAACAATTATACACTCTGCCCTTCAATTACCCATCATGGGGGGTTTCATTTTTCATTTCCATTTCCATTCTCATTTCCATTTCAATCAGCCTTGTAGTTAAACAACTCTTCTGCATTTACGGTTTTCCACACTTTCATCTATGCATCATGCTTTGCTTTCTCTGGGTAATGCTCCAGCTGTACAAACACTTGGAATTATACCTGTAATAACAACATAGGACTAGAAATCTACACTACTACAACCAAGGGTAGGTAATAAGAAGAAATTACAGTGCCACGGAGTTCCTACTACACACTCACTCTGGTGATTCTTTGTGTTATTTTAACCTGTGGTTCATTCGGCTACTACAGACATCAGAAGAAAGAAAATGGTAGTACAACAATAATGACAACAAAAGAAAGGGAATGCCTGCCCCACTTCCTTTACTGAACTACTTTTTACGTATGCATTTTGTATGGTAGTAAGTAGTATAGTATTGATGATTGAAGATGATGGCCGCCATGGTGGTAATGGTGGTGCTGATTCTCTACAAATTTTTCCAGGTTTGTTCAGTCTTCTTTAACTTCCTGCAAATGTTGCACAAAAAAGACCAAACCACCACCCAAAATTCAATAAACTTGACAACAAAAAGACCAACCTTGAAGAACTTCCGAGCTAGCTTTTACCTGAACATCAGGAAACTAAATGCCAATTGGTCCACCGGTGCCTGCTAACATCCCAATAGTTCCATGACTAGAAGAGAACCTAAATCAAATTCAGATCAACAAAAACTCAGAAGCTTGTGGGATGCTGAAAATCATGGCACAGGGAAAGAAAGCTAAAAGGTGATGACGAAAATACCTTGGTATTTGGCAGTTATAGGATTTGAAAGTTCCCATGTCAAGAGCAGAAGCTGGTGGAAGTAATGCGCTAGTACCAAATTTAGAGTTGGCAGATGCACTTGAGGCATCTGCATCAATGGCCTCATTAGGTCCATTGGAGAAGGAAACCATGAAGTCACCAGCAGCTTTTGTTGGGGAAGCAAAAGGGCTATCAGGGAGATTGTGCTCCAAACTGCATTAATTCATAAACCATATAAAATACTGACAATAAAATTTGGGGAAATTGGAAAACCTGAATAAATGCACATTTCTTTTGGCATAGACTGAAAAAAGGAATTTGGTGCAAAAAGGTCTTTACTATTCTGGTGCACTTTTAGCATTTTAAATACGAACAATTTTTATACCATTCTTGCAATTCACGATCTTCATGACTAGGGCTCTGCTTCCCATTGCCTTCATCATATCCATTCTCCCCGTTGACCACCATTTCCTTACCAACAGATATGTTGACCGGCTGCTGACCGGCTGAAACTGATGTAGTACTACTAGCTGGAGCAGAAGATGAACCACTCTCTGATATCAAATAGCATAAATATAAACCAATTCATTTCATTTCCCAGAAATGCACCAAGTTCAATTCAAGAACAGAAGCAATCAGCTGCATTTAAAATGAAATAGAGAGATATATACCATTTTGGGCCTCTGAACTAGTGTGAAAGGAAGGAAGAACAAGATTTTGGTTGAACATGTTAGGAGAGTGGGTTGGGGAAGGAATTGGACTTCCAGTGGAGAGTGCACGCTGGTGATGCTTCTTGATGTCAAGAAGTTGCAGACCCATTAGCCTCCTACTTTGTAACTCAAGAGCCTGCTGCAAATCAGCTTGCTCCTCCAGCTTCCTCCTCCACAGCATGTCTTGAGTATTGTAGAACATTCTGCCTCCTAGAAACATACAAGACAACACTCAGTAAAGAAAGTTTCACCAGCACACTACTTAAAACGATAATAAAATGAAATGTTCAACAAAAGCATTAAGCTACCAAGTTGAAGATCAAATTGGTCTCTGGCCTCTAGTCCAGTAGGAGTGCCACATGGTGAAAAATCTCCTCTGTCAACCTGCTGCTGCTTCCTTCAAAATACAAGAAACATGAAAACATTCAAAACCAACAGAAGAGAATAACAAAGAAAGGATGGTGCAAGAGCAGAAAGAGGGGTGCCTGTACTTGTCCGGGACTTTGCCTTTCTCCTTGTAAGGCTTAACAAGCACTCGAGCATCACACACAAAATGAGGATTTCCTTTAGATAGAATGAGCTTCACAGTCTCAGGATAAACAAAGGTCACAAAACCAAACATTCGCTTCTGCTGGTATGGGATCCTCACGTCTTGGACTGGGCCATAAATGCTTCAACCACAGAATTAAAACTAAGTTAATGATTCTGCCAATGCCAAAACACTCCTCCTGACCCCAGCTAAGGCTAAAACTAAACAACAATAACCTGAAGTAATTTGAAACATCTTCCTCTCTGAAAGTGCTGTCTGCTGGAAATGTCAAGTAGATCTGCCTGGAAGCTGGGTTTACCATTCCAGGACTGTTCAGAGAAAAATCATTTCTTTCAAGCCTGGATCGTCCAAATTTATGCAAATCCTCACTCATCATCAGAGCTGCAGCTGCCGCTCTGCAATGATTATCAACAATGATTAAAATCCTGCACCTGGAATGTTACAAAGATACACAGATAAAAACACTCGATTGCATGGCAGTGTTGTGTACCTTTGAGTATCGTTCTGTTGCTGCTGCAACAGCAAATTCATGCACTTAGGCGAGTATGGAAAAGTTGGAGAGCCCATGAGCTGAGAAGCAGCAGCCAATCTGTGCTGCTGAGAAGATTTGGATCTGAAGAGCTCATGGCACTGCTCCATCATCTCAATCTTGCTTGGAGACCCTACCATTGCAGCAGCACCATCTGCATCTCCAAGTCCACCATGAAGGAACCTGCAACTTGTCCCATTTTTACAGTACCCTCTAGCAAAGTAAAGACAAGGCTTCCACCCCAACCCGGAGTTCGGGTCCTCAGAACCCAAACAAGCATCATTGACCGAGCAACTCCTTCGATGAAGGGACCCTCCCCAACCGTAGGAAGGAAAGAGAGCAGGGTCAGCAACACCAGTAGGACTTGAGGACATGTCCGAGTGAGTTGGGTAAAACAAATCTGGGTTGCTCTTGTGAGCAAGAGCAGCACTGGTGGGAGAACCATCATTGAGGAAAGAAAGCTGATCCTGAAGTTGAAAGTCATCAATTGGATCTGAGCCTCCGTTGACATAAAAGGGTAAGGAAGATGAAGAAGTAGAAGAGCCAACAACCAAATGGTTGGGGCTCATCAAACCATCTGGGGTTTGAAGCTCAGACATAGTAGGCCACGAAGAAGTGGTGGAAGAAGGGTTTGGAATGGTGAGAGCAGGAGGTAGGTTGATACCACCAAGCCTGGAAGAAGTGGAGCTTTGCCTCGAAAGGAAGGGCGAAGGAGAAGGAGGAGTAGAGGGCGTTGGCGGAGAGTTCGAAGGTAAACCTAACTCCTTGCGTGCTTTGAGAATCACAGAGTGAACCAGTGCTTCTGGGCCAAATGCTAATCTAATCATTTCCTTCTCACCATGGTCCTGAAGAAGAAGTACACCCATGATTTTGGATGCATTTTCAGGGTCCAAGTTTTGGATCCTAGCAAACACAATTCTTGTAGCTTCGTAACCATCCATGATTGAACAAAGAGATTGGAACTTCAGCTCCACAACAAACTAGTCTATCCCTAAAATTCAAATTTGTTTCTTCAAGTTATGTGTGTGCAGTTTCTCTCTCTCTCTCTATTCTCTAGTTGTCATCTTTCTCACTCCTCACTCCTGGTACAAGAAAAGTTTCTTTCTCAACCACACAAGCCCTACCTACCAACTTGGGATGAGTAGTGGCACAGTGAGTTTCTTTCTCATATTCCTGCAAGCAAAGCAAAACAGGAGAAGAAAAGTAAGTGAAAGAAGAAAAGGAGAAGGAGGAGTAAAAAGTGGTGTTAAAAGGAGTATTCCCGTGTGATGGATTAATGGGAGAAAACTAAGGGAAGAGGTGCCAAGAGTTACCTTTGATTAAAGGAATGAGAGAAAATAAAGAAAAGGGAGAGAGACATAACATGGTGGTTGAATTTCTCTATAAAGAAGTAATGAGTGCAAAAGTTGCAGAAACAACAAAAGGAGAAACTTACAAACAACAACAAATAACTCTTTTCCTTTTCCTTCTTTCTTTTTCTCCCTCCTACTTATATTAAGTTCCTTCTAAATTTCCAAATTAAATTTGAAATCCTAATCTGAGAAGCTTTGGGCCTTACCCATGAACGAAAGAAAGATAAAGTTTCTGTCTTTGGTTTTGGTTTGGTCAGTGACTCAACCTCAAACACAATGGTAGTAGTCAAAGTTACTAGAAAAGCCAAACCACCGCCTTATTTATAACACGGTTGCAGCAGATAGAAGCAGCAGAAGAAACACGAATTGCCCAAGTTCTCCTTATGTGTTTTTATGGGGTTCTGGGCAACAACACTATGTTATGTTGAAAACTGAACTTATCATTCTCATTTTACCCTTCTTTCTCTCTCAACTCAGCTCAACCATCAACCCCATATTTTGTTCTTCTCTCACACTCTCCCACTCACTATGAAGCTCCCTTTAGAACAACGTGTGCGTGTGGTGGCAGTGTCCTTCTGTTATGGTGTGTGCTTCTTTGAGCGGATCCAGATCCCACTTGCCCCTAACCTCTGACACTCCTTTCTCTCTCTTCTCTCTCTCTTCTCTCTCTCTCTCTCCTATTCTGTGTAGTGTATTCAGTATTTAGTATTTACTTTCAATTTCTGAGCTTTCATTGCTTTCCCGAGCACAGCACAGCAAAACTCAACAGTCAACACCCTTTGCTTTGCTTTGTTTTACTTATCATTGCTCACTCAGTTTCTCTCTCAGAATTTGGTTCTCACGCTCCAACACGATCTCACAGACCCTCTCTGGGACCCTCTCTCGACTCGAGAGTGAAGAACACGCCCGCAGCTTCTGCTTTCATTGCCTCATCATGTCTTTACCTTGGGAGGAGTCAATGCCACCCCAATCAAACACTATCTTCTGTTCTTTCTCTCTCTTCTTCTCTTAATTCTATTAATTAATTCTAATTTATTATATACTATGTTCACTCCATTTTAAACATATCAATATTTACTTACAATAAATTATTTTTCAATATATCTAATGTATTATAAATAAACCTTTCAAAATATATATATATATATATATATACATATACATGACTAAACGTTAAAAACAGTCGTTAATTATAATTAATTTGAATAATAACAACTATTAATAAATAATTAATAAAAATAATAGTTATTAATTAAAAATTAATAAAAATAATAAAAGTTATGATCGTACGTTTCATTATAATATTTATAAATATAAGTTTAAAAGAAAAAATTCATTAATTAATTCTAATTTACTTAATTTTAAATAAAATAACTGATTTTAACGTTGAAATGTCTTTAATACATGCTCTACGTAGTTTGGATAAACAGAAAATAGAACAAACAATATAACTTATATATAAAACACAGTTAAGAAGTTTATTTGGTATTCAAAGTTTATTTGGTATTCGAGACAATTTTGAATTTTATGAATAAAGATCAAATCTAAAACATTAAGAAATTTTTTTATATAATGTAAAACATATGTTCATATTTAAATTATTTTTAATTATATATATAGATTATTTCTTATTTGCTAGGTGGTGTCCCACAAGTTAGTGATGCAGCTCCTCGCTTTGTAGTGAGGGGTCCATTTACAATTATCGAAAGTATATGTAATTTATTTATGATTGTTGTTGTGATGATTACATGATAATATAATGTGTTATTGTGTAAGAGAAAGAGAGAGGTTGTTCTTTTGGAGCTACAAAATCACAAAAGATATAAGGGATTTGTGTATAGATTTTTTTATTTTTTATTTATTTATATATTTTTTTTATGTGGGAGATTTGTATAAAGATATGATAGCTGCATCTTCCTTTCTCACTTGTCGTTTTTCCGATGCCCCCACAAACAAATAAAAATGATGACACAATGTCTCTCTCCACCTGTTTTTCTTTTTTTTTTTTTCCTTTCAAATCTGACTTATATTTCTCAGTATATTTAGTTATGCTTAACGATTAAAAGTGCATTCTTTTATACTTTGAAAAGGCTAGATCAACATCTTTTCATGATTACTCGTGTAATTCTAATCACTTCCCAACTTGTATTACTGATTACTGAACAAAGTAATCTTCAATAACCAGACAAATTTCAGTAACAGTGTCTTTGTTTCTTGCTGTTTCTCATTCAAAACAATTACAGTTCAGTGTTTGAAAAATCGTTTAAATATGTTTTTAATTTCTTCGATTTAAGTTTTAAATTTTAAATTATTTCTAAATCCTGTGATTCGGAAAAATGTTTTCTTCCTTTTTTTTTTCTTAGGAGTAGAGGTTGTTAAAATAAACAAACATACAGTATTGTAATCTATGATAACAGTGGAATTTGATTATCTGTCACTCAAATTATTTGCAGCCATTCTGCAATTTAAATAACTTTTTTATATATTGATTTTATTAATTATAACCACTGAATAAAAAAAATCTAAAAATACACACAGTATCAATTTGTCATTTCTTTTATTTCTAATATGTTATTATTTATCAACAACTTTTAACCATGTCAAGATAACGAAATTGGTTATAGTCCTAACAAATTAAATAATTTATTTATTTTATAGATACCAAAATAAAAATTATATATATATATATATATATATATATATATATATATATATATAACTTGTACAATAAAAAAAACATTCAACTTTAATAAAAATTCCAACACAGAACAAACTATACAACGTTATCTCGAAGTTGTTCCACAAATGACATTTGTCAAGACCTTTAAATTCAGTAGATAATGGAATCCAAGTGTAGGTGTAAGGGTTTGGAAATTCACAAAGTGCAAGACAGGTGTGCAGCGCTGAGTGGCCGATCGGTTTAGTGACGGTAGTATTTAAAGAAAAACTTTGTGCCACTTTTCCTTCATGCACTTTTCTTCCCCAAAATTTTGAGTTTCAGTTCTTCTCCTCCTTCTCTCTACAATCTTCTCTCTAAGAATTCTCATCTTTTTCTTCTTCTGATCAACAATCAGACCACGTCTGAGTTATTCTGGTGTCAAGAGTTTTATATTCCACCTATCAAGTTGTTGGTTTGAACTGGTAAGTTCATTCTTCTCTTAGCACGGTTGTTTTTTGTCACATGAAAACCCAGAATCTGGTTGCATGAGTTTATCATCTCATTCTGATAGAAATTTTAGTCTTTTATTTGGTCTTTTATCATCTCAGTCAGAGTAAAGTGGTCGGTCATTGCATGCATTGTTGTATGATTATAGTTGGAAATGTATGATTGGTTGTTGCATGATTGACCTATTGATTTATCTCAGAATTGTGTGAACTATATGTTTTACTGAATTAATTAAATTACATAAGCTTACCGTATTTTCTTGTCTTGTCTTGTTGTTCGTCCGGTTATTCTTCATGTTGCAATGATCATCCTGTGGATGTGAGCAGAAGAGGACGAGTGTTTGCTAGAAGAAGCTTTGGAAGAAGTGGAAGTGAAAGCTGAACCACATGACCATTCGGTCGTTAGAATTGGTCCTATTTTGTATAACCTGTAAGCTTAGTCTTGTAACCGTTCGGTCTAGACTTTTGTTTTGTAAAGTTTAAATTCTAGAGTATTATTGTAAGGTCGTTCGGTCATAAACGTACTTCTTCTCTTTCAAAACTGAATTATAATATTGTTAATTGTGAGTATTCTATGATATGGTTTTATACTGTATTTTTGGGATGTTACAACATTCATCCATAGTACTTATGCAAGAAGAGACAATAAAATGAAAAAAACAATAAAAGAAATAAACCAATGTAGTATATTTGTTTTCTTATGCATATTTTATATTTTCGTATATATGAAATGAAACATTGGTTATTTTAATATGTAATGTTATATTTTTAATTTGATTTGCATTAAAAATAAATAGTAATCTAATAAATACTAAAAACAACGTAGTAATTGTTTGCATCTATAAAATTAACATATGTAGTAATATGTAAAAGAAAATAAAGATAATAGAAAATGTATCTTAGGATATAAATGATGATAATTAAATTTTGTAAATAAGTTACAAAATAAAATAAAAAATAACTTATAGCTTATAAAGCTGAATGAACATAAAATAAACTAGTTTGAATACTTCATCACAATTTATGGATTGGTCAAATGAAGTATTAATTAAGTTATTAACGTTGTCAACCACATTCCTAAGCTATTCTAGCTACTAGCATTTTTTTTTTCAATAACTTTGTTTACCTATAATCACATATGTAAAGAATAAACACAGTCTAATAGCAGTCTAACTTAAGAACTCTGAAAGCTTAAATTCATAGAATTAAATCAAAAAAATTTGTGATAAATTTTCATTGAATAAAATAGTTTAAATAAACGATTTGTTGATATAAAAAGAAATGCATAACTCTTGAGAAATAAATAAAAACATAGAAATGTTCAATAAGAATTTGTTTAAATTATATAATAATATTTTGCAAATATAATTTTTATTATTATAAACTAGTTTATTAACTAATCCCATTAAATATTTTTAATCTAATAAGTTTAAAATTATTAGTTACCAATTTATGAGTTAACAGTTAGTTTTTTCAATCACAAGTTTAATTTGTCTTGGAAAGGTTAAAGTGTAACTATTTTAAGGAAGAAAATGTATTTGAAATAAACTAAACCTATGTTGAATGTGAATGAACAAATTTGTTGTCTCACCATTTATGTTTTTCGAAGGTCTGATTTATTTTTTCAAATTTGAACTTTCTAAACCAATAAAGATAACAGTGTTACTTTGAAAATAAATACTTTCTTCTTTTCAACTTTAATTTAAACATAAAAATATTTAGGTTGAATTTTATTTTATTCCTTTCCAATTTAGTATCAAACTTGTAAACTGGAAATTTCTGTGAGTTTCATGAGTATATAAAATAATTATAAAAGAAAGTTTGTAATTAAGAATATTAAAGATTGAGTATAAGTTTAACTTATAGCAAAAATAACTTGTAATGAGACACCTTAATTCCCTCAATATATATATAATTTAAATGTTTTTTAATTTAATATATGCTAAACCAAAAGTTTTTGTACTTATGCAGTTCAATTTTAATATATTTATGTATCAATTTTTCTTTAATTTTGGTATATTTCATGAACATCCCTTATTGATAATCCATAATTATGAACTTTAATTTGATCTTTGACATTTAATTAGATATTTGTCGTTAGTCTAATAGTCAGTGAATGACCCAACAAATAATACCGTTGCTTCTTTTAATCGTCAGCTCTCTTATTCTTATGTCTTTAAAGGTAATATCATGATTTTGTTGGATGGAAATTAAAAATCATTATTATTTATTTACCGTTATACGTAGGTAACTATAAATATGAGATATACTGAGATCACATGCTGGCAATTTCTCAACCACTCATTTTATCTATCATTTACTCCTCAATACTAAACTTTACTATTCTCATCTTTAATAATGAAATGTAGATATTATTAGAATGTGTTTATCAAAATTAGCTGATAGTTAATGAATTTTTAATTTACACATGCCCCACTGATAAGTTAATTTATCGTATTAAAGATATTTTTAAAAAGTTAATTTATCATATTAAAGAT